CTCGGCGGACTGCTCCATCGCAGCGCCGCCGCCGTGCTGCGGGTCCTCTCCGCGGGAGGGGGCGCTCCTCCAGCCGCTATCCCCCTCGTGCGTGCGCGCGAGCGCGTGGCCCTAGAGTAGGAGGATGAGGAGGAAGACCAGTGCAAACCCAAGGCTCATCAACGCTGTTGAAATACACCCTCCCTCTAATATCCCCCTTCACAAGCCACTACACGGGGCCATGTCCACTGAGGGAACGGCCCCGTTGGGGAACAACCGTGCGAACATCTTAAAGCGTACCAGAACACCATTTGTCATGGCTTCGACGTCACGAAATAACCTGGCTGTTACGCAGTGGCGATCCTGTACCGTTCCAGACCACCATGCCTGGGACTTCAACACCGCGAATCAGCTTACCTGCTGCGCCCTGACAATCCCGACTCGCTCCAGCACGCCATTGATGGTCCTTTGGCCATTAGAATCCGTGAAACTCGTACTCTTGCAAATGTGTAAAAGGAATGTGCGCGGCGCTCAAACGAGAGCCCCACGTTGGGAAGGAGCCACCCTTAATTCGCGAAGCCCTGCATTTTCAAGACGAGTGTGCGCAGCGCTGAAGCGATACTCACAATTTGAAAACGAACCGCCTTAAATCCGTGAGTCTCTTGCAAATATCTGAAACGAATGTGCCATGCGCTAGTACGAAAACCACAGACCCTCAATCCATGAAACTCTTACACATGTTCAGAATGTATGTGCGCGCAGACCATGTTGAAAACGAACCGCCCTCAATCCGTCAAACGCTTGTACATGCTTAATGCGAATGCGCGCGGCGCAAAGTGAGAGCCACATCTTGAGAGCTGCCAGCCCTCAATCCGTGAGACTACTGTAAACTGTGAAAACGCATGTGCGCGGCGCTGAAGCGAGAATCGCATGCTGAAAACGGCCCGCCCTGCATCCGTGAAGCTGTTCTCCACGTTTCAGCATTAGGGCCAGCAGCGGTGGGGAAGATTTCAGGCGAAGCGCCCGGCCCGCCCTTCCGACCAGCCTCGGGGTGCGGAGGAGTTATCTACAACGAAAAATGGAGGTAACCGGATGAGGCAGGAGAGGAAAGGAAGGGGGAACGCAACAGGGAGAAAGGGGGAAGAGGGGAGGCAGAGGGAGATCAGGATGATGAGGATGAGACGGAGGGGGAGGAATGGGATGACAGGGGTACCACTTGAACGACACTTTGAGGGGGCAGGAGATGGGGACTGAGGAGGAACAGAGCTAGGAAGGGGAGAGAAGCGCCGTGGGGTGAGGTGGAAGCACAAGCTGGAAGAAGAACATCGTGTTCAATAGGTAGGGTCAGGCAGAAGATTGTCAGAAAGAAGGTGCAGAAGAAAAGGAAGCGCGAGAGGAGGAGGAGGAGGAAAGGGCCCGGCCCCGGCCCTGGCCGCGGCCTCGGCACCACCCTCGCCCCAGCCCCGGCCCCAACAGAGCGCCCAAAAGGCTCCCAAGAGAGCCCCAAGAACGGCCCCAGAGCGTCAGCGTCGTCGTCGTCGCCGCCGCCGTCGTCGTCGCCGTCCCCCTTCAGGGTCGGCGGCACAGTCCGTGAGGTCTTCCCAATAGGTCGGCTCAGGAAAGACGATTGTCAGATGGAGGGTGCGGGAGAAAAGGAGGCGCGAGAGAAAGAGGAGAAGGAAGAGGACGAGGAGGAGGAGGAGGAGGAGCCGGAGGATAAGGGAGGAGGAGGAGGATGCATGGCCAGATGTTTTCTCCGTCGCCAGGGATACGATCTGTGTTGGGATGTGCTTGCCCCAAGACTGCAGGGGAGGGGACAACGTACAGACCAGGAAACAGTACTGTTGAAAATCCGCCTGCCAATGCCTCGGCCAGCTTTACAGAAGGGAGGGAGGGTATTGGGTGAAAGCTTGAGCCCCGCGGTTGCGGCAGGGCGGCGCACTCTGCAACTCTCTTCCAAGCAAACCCTTACTGAAGTAGTCAAATGCATGGCCAGATGTTTTCTCCGTCGCCAGGGACACGATCTGTGTTGGGATGTGCTTGCCCCCAAGACTGCAGGGGAGGGGACAACGTACAGACCAGGAAACAGTACTGTAGAAAATCCGAACCAGTGTAAAGCCCAGGAACAGTAAAACCTCCGCGAACACCGCTCTGGACTCAAACATGAGGCCGAAGTTTATTAGCACGTTGTTGCACTAGAGCAGCACGGAATATTCTCACAATGGCTCGGCATACAAAGACGGGGTAAACCTCCGCCTGCTTTGATACGATCTTGGAGCCTTTCATCTCCAGGGTAAAATGCGGGGAGCCAGTGAACGTACATACACCTCTGCCTCTACATCGAATATCCAGTGGTCGAAGATCAACGTGACACCCAAGAAGTCGAGTGGATGTTCTCCAGATGGTGCCGAAAGCGCACATGTCGAAAACCACCTCTGAAACACCAGGAAGATGCCGGACCTTGAGGGCCAAGGGTTGTCTCCAAAGATGAGAGCTCGCAGGGTTCTCAACGATCACTGGGCACCCAAGTAAACGGCACTCACGGAAGATACTGAAACTCGCGGCACACAGGGAGTTTCCGAGGTCGACTTCTTTGCGGCAGCTGTCTGAGAGCTTGGGGAGGCCCTCGGGGTACTCGGACGTCCTGAGGGTCGGGGGACCGTTAGGGCGGTTCCTTGCCAGAGAGAAGGAGTTACACGGCGTGACCATGAACGCGGCCATCACGGGCCCACCTCGGACCCAGCCCCGGATCAGCTTGACCAGGGCCTTACTGCACATGTCATGCTCCGCCCCGTGCATATATGTCGATCTCGAAAACAGGGTGGCCAGCCGACCTCATGGATCGGCGCCAAAGCTCTGACAGGTGCCCGGAGCCGGCGAAGATCTCGAGGGCCGCGGGGACGCCCCGCTGCTTCACAAAGAGCGGGAGGCATTCACGAGGGTTACGCCAATGTTCGAGGCCGCCAGGTCGGCGGCGATGAGGATGTCCTGGGACAAGAGGCTCAGCTGCTCGTTGATGCGCCCGCCCCGCTCGTAGCGGGCTAGGCTGCGGTCGCTGGCCCAGCGGCCGCGCTCCTTGGCGCTTAGGAGAGTGCGCGCCTTGAAGAGGAGGTCGCGCGACACCCCTCCGTGGCGGAGGCGGTGCAGGCACGGGTCGCCCAGGGCGGTGAGCCCGCAAGCGTTCGCTGCGCCCTTCAAGGCCCGGCCCCACTGCGCCTGGCCGAAGTTGAAGACCAGCGAGCGGGGGAACTTGGCCTTCAGGAGGCCCAGCACCTGCGACAGCCACGGGAACAGGGGGTTGTCCGCTAGCAAGCTCTCGTCCACGCGGCCCGTCTTGGACGTGTCGCCGCCCTCTTGCGGGCGCAGGAGGAGGGGCCACATCTGGCCCTGGCCGTCCTGCACACGGCGAGGCGCCTGGGCAGGAGCTGTGATTAGCTTTCCCTGCAGACGCAGGCACTCGCTTGGGCGCAGGTAGAACGTGAAGGTGATGATGCTGGCCAGTGCCTCCATCACCTGGCCTGCGGCAATCATGTGCTGCACGCACAGGCACAGGGCGACCCAGGGGTACGGCAAGCGGCTCTGGGCGGGCACCATGCGTTTCCAGCCCGTCAAGGCGCGAAAGCTGCGGGGCAGCTCGAAGGGCGCTCCGTTGGGGTATGTCCAGAAGTAGCGGAGGCCCGCGATCAGCTTCGTCGGCGCGTAGGAGAGCTCGCCTGCGAAGAACTTCTCGTGCATGTACGTCACGAGGGCTAGGTCGATCGCCGGCGCCGACCTCAGGGAGGTCGCGATGTCGCTGAGCAGGTGGCGCTCCTGGCCCCACTGGTAGAAAGCCGTCACGTACGTCTGGTAGTCCTGGGCGGCCTTCGGCGAGATGCTCTGCAGCTCGAGGAAGGTCGGGGCGCCCGGCGGCGGTGGGGCCTCTGCGGCAGCAGGGAAGGCCCTCGCCCGCTTGGCGGCCCTTTCCTCCTGGGCGCCGGGGCCGTGGGGCACCCACTCGCGGCATGGGCGCCGCGAGGAGGGCGCCGGGAGGTTGGGCGCCACCTCCGCGCGGGGCAGGCCCCCGGCGTGGGCGCCCAGGGGGCGCGGCACCAGCTGCGGGCCCGCCGTCACGGCTGTCGCCGAGGAAGCCATCGCGGAGGACCTCGAGCCCCGCGGGCCCGAGTGCTGCAACTGGATCCGGCGCAGCATTGAATCGGAAAGCTCCTGCCCGACCTCGAGAAGCGGCACCGGCTGCGTTGGATTCTGATGGGACCCACCTCCAGCCGATATACGAGTTAGAGGCCAGCAACATGGCAGCCGTCTGACGGCAGCACTGTAGGACCCCAGGGCTCGACGATCGTCCCTTGGTAAACGCAAGAATGGGAGCCATGCAATCGTTCAAAACCAGGTGCTTGCAACCGAAGTTCTGAGTGTTCCGAACTATGTTCTTCACGGTGAGCACGAGCGACCGAGCCTCCAAGACAACCTGGGCTTCCTTGTGGGACCACTTCTGGGACATAACGAGGGACCAGTCGCCGCCGTAGATCGACTCTGGGACCTCGGGGAAAGGGGCCTTCGGGATCTCGGAGTCCTGGGGGGAGGCGGTGACACCGCCGCTGACCGAACATTTCAGAGCCGAGTCCCGTGGCTTGAGGATGGCCTCGTGGGCCGCTGAGTAACGCAAACGCTCCTCTAGTGGCCCACGTGCTGGACCTCCTGGACGCTGCGGATGCCCCTGATAACCCCCGCGCCCCACCAGGACGCGTCGGTGCAGTAGACCATGGGGGGCCAGGCGGCATTGACGTCGCGGAAAGCGAGTGCGATCAGCGCGGCGCACCAACGAAGCTCTCGTTTGACTGAACCCCAGAGAACACGCGCATGGTGGCCAGACGACTCGATGAGGGAATACGAAGCCTGTAGACACGAGAGTAATTCACGGCGTAGCAGAGCACGAGACGTGAAGTGTGACACGACGACCCTGACAAGATCCCCCGAGGCGTACTTCATGTCCGCGACGGCCAGACACCCTAGTCGTATCCGCCAGCCTATGCGGTGACTGATCCCGATCGTCGGGGCGTCCTGGTCAA